TTTGATCTTAAAACCTAATATTTGGTTTTTTTCAAACACGGGTAACCTACAATATAGGAGTGTAAAGCTCAACTAGGCTGTGAGTTGTTGCAAATTGATGGGTATACTGTAAAAAGCAGAGGGAAAAATCACAGATTTTCTCATGCATCTTTTTCTTTCTTTTTGCATTTTTTTCATTTCAATTTCATATTGCCACAGAATCCTTAAAATGTGTGTAACTATGAATCGATGGGTGATACTGCAAAAAGCAGAGGGAAAAATTGCAGGTATTTTTCATGCATCTTTTTCTCTCATAAGAAGGCAAAGTCAAATTATTTTTTGCAATGCTAAACTTAAATGTTCTATTGAAAAGTAATGCACATGCCTTCAACAACATATTCATTATTTTCACTCCCATTTTTTTTGCACAGCTGGGTTGTTCCATTGAGGGGTCGGGAGCATATTTGCTATACAAAGAATTGAGGTTGGTGAATTTAATTCGCTTATTGATTGAATAATTGATTTGACCGAATGATGAAACATCTTCCCACCTGCAAATTTATTAACCCATATTTGATATTTCAAGAAAATGCTCTAGAACTCTAAAGCCTCAAGTTCATAATAGAAGAATTATAATTCAAAATCAGTTGGCTAAAAAAAATTGGTCTACATGAGATTCTTTGTTAAGTACATTTACCAAAGGGCTAATCAAAGAAAAAGAAGAAGATACACTTGATCAGTGGTAATTATGTGTGTTTTTTTCATTTTCAAAAGTGAATTCTAGCTTTTAAATGAATTTACTCTCATATATTACATGTATTTATGAAGAAATTGAAGTTAGTTTTGTTGAAAAACATTATTATTCTAAACCCAACTCAAGGCTGAAATGTTTGTGTTCAAACCCAATCATATGGTTTTACAATCTATGAATACAGATCTTTATTAGTGTTGGGATTTAGCTGTCAAATATCATTTGGTTTACTATATATAATTACATATTGAACAGGTGAAAAAAGAAAGCTTGATATTTTGCTAACAAGGTCTTCCTGTAAAAGTTTAATTAGGTTTGGCTGTGCAACTTATATTTGTAGTTTGATTCTTTTTCTGTTTGCTTCGTAGAGTCTTAGATTTGGCTAAATTATTGGTGATGAAGTTGAAGGATGTATATAAAATTGCTGTTTCCTACACCTAGATTCCAAAATTTATACTCAAATTTTGACTTGGTTGTCCTTTGTTGAAACTACACTTGAGTTTAATAAGTTTGAATATTGGTAATGATGTTTTTTTGGTTTGTTTGGCTATTGGATGGCAGATTTTGCTTTAATCGTTACTCCCTCCGTCCCATTTTAAATTGCCTGTTTGCCTTTTTTCTCCGTCCCAAAATAAGTTGCCTGTTAGTTGTTTTCGTAAACTTTTAAAAATAAAATACCTAAACTACCCCTAAAATAAGTCACACTTCTTCACCTTATCTTCTCATTCATCATCACCCCTCCTAAAAAGTAATGTCAATTTCGAAAAATCAACTCTATTTTTTATTTTTCTTAAATATGCCCAAAAGTCAAAACAGGCGATTTAAATTGGGACGGAGGGAGTATTTTTTATTGAGATAATTGGTGTTGTCGTGTTGTAGTCGTTGGAGCATGAGAGCTTGCAGTTTTGTTATAATGCTCGATGTTTTTCTTTGAACTAAAAGAGGAAAAAAAGGAAAAGAAAAAAAGTAGAACTACAGTCTTCTTATGGGCTTTTACAGGTTCTTACACTCTTCTACATTTTTTAAATAAAATTATTTTTTCAAAAATTAAACTACAACACTATTGAATATTTTAAATTTGGAGTTCTTTAAAAAAAATTGAGAGCTAACATATCTATAAAAATGATCATTTCTACTCGGACAACATACTACGCCTTTGAGTATTCATCTATTTTGTCTATCAAATATATATTTAAAAAAACGCAAACAATACTTGCATAAATCACGAGCCCGTGCGAAGCACGGGGTAGAAAATTAGTTTACCAATAAGACTCTGTTTGGTACATGGAATTTAAATTATGGAATTCGAGACAATAATTCTAATTTAGTGTTTGGTAACACAAAAATATGCGGATTTGAAATTGGTAGTACCAAAAATGAATTGGAATGGGAGAATTCAATTCCATCCGAATCAATTTCATAGATTTCAACTCCCAATTTAATTCCAATTCCCTCAATTTCGTTTACCAAACGGACTCCAAATGTAAAGAGTCAAATGAGACAGAAGACTGTCAAAAAACAGTGGGACCGAGAAAGTATATTCAAAATTTTGAAGTCAATGATTTCATAGTTTCCCCCCTTTAAAGTTTAGCCTCTGAAATCTCACTGCACAGGTTTTTTTCTTAAATTTTTTTGGAATGAGGTTTTTAAATTTTTAAGGTCGTGAATGTAATTGTTTTTCTCCGGAAGTTGAGAACTTTTGTTTTTCAAATTCTTCGTCTTTACGTAGTACCGATCTCATCACACACTTGAATACCGTTGAAGATGCTCAGTGAGATATATAGGCGGTTTTTAACACATGGAAGATATATTATCATCAAATTAGTCGTATAATTTTTCTTTTTTAGTAGATTCCAAAATAATTGCATTACTACTTTATTTTCCAAATAACTAAAAATATATGGTCCAAATCTCTCTCTTAGTCATGATCAAACAACTAATTCAATTAAAAGCTCAAGTTCGTCATTGTATGTCTAGAAAATGTTTTTTTATATATTCTAATGCGCTCCTTATGTGCAAGCGTGGTCACTTTGAACTTTGGATGTCATATCTTAGTGGTGACTTTCGAACTAATGACCATAATTAAATTGGATAGTGGTGACTTTCGAACTAATGATCTTTTAGTCAACAAACTCTGATACCATGTCATATTGTCATGATCAATAAATCAATTCAACTAAAATCTCAACTTGTGATTGTAAATCTAAAAAAGTTTTTTAAATATATTTTAGGATTATGCTATGTGTACCCCAAGTTTTGTACCCCGCAGTTTTGCACCAACACTTTGTGTTGGTGTAAAACTAATTTTTGTTAAATGCACCAACATTTGTGTCCGTGTGAATTTTTATTAACGCACCAACACTTATGTCGGTGTAAACCATCGAAATATTTGTGCAAACCTGTGGTGTACAAATGGGGTATATTTTTTGGTGTAAGTGTAGCATGGTCCTATATTTTAACACTTATATAATCACATTTGAACAATGAACTCATTTTTTTTTATTTTTCAACATATTTCCTAGACTCCGTGACCTAATACCAAATTACCAACCAACTCATCAAAACCGCGTCTGCCTCCCCGTGCCCAATTAGTCCAAAAGGGGTGAATAAGTGCGCTTTAATGAAATTTGAAAAGTGTTACATGTTTAGAAATTTATCCCAAAAAAAGTCTATGCATGTAACGCATAGGGTAGCTAAATATGTGGAACATGTTTAGATATTTGTATAAATAAGGAGCCGTTTTCAGCTTGGTCAAATGTCAACCTTAGGTAAAAGACTTCGAAAAAAATGGGGGATACAAGGGTTGTATTTTTACCTGTACACAAAGTATATCACAGGATAACAGAGACATATAAAGAATAATTGTCTATACAGTATACAAACAATTGTTAGTTTTCTGCATCTTTGATATATTTAATACTCCCTCCGTCCCGGAGTATTCGTCCAGTTTTGACTTTTGGAACTGTCCATCTAAGCACTTTGACTCATCAAATTCTCTCAATGTGTAAGCCTAAATATAGTCATGTGTGATCTTGTTTGATTTTTCTTAACATATAGATTATTAATATATAATTTCTATAATTTTTTAATATACAAATTACAAGATAAAATGGATTAAAGAAGTGTATTGGATGGTGTGTAAAAATGAAAAGTGGACAAATACTCTGGGACGGAGGTGGTATGATTGAAACCACCCTAAATAAGACTAAAACATAGAGAAAAGTTCCAAAATAGAATTTTCATGTTTTTTCACACTGTGGTAATGTCACACTGTACATGTGCACATTAATATGCTGTTTGGTAATGTATATAACCATGTTCGGTAATGTAAATAGATTTTAAGTCTTATTTCGGGAATACAAATAAAGAAATCCTATTTTAGTATATTTTCAATGTCTTAGTCCTACTTTGATCTTTCTTTCTCCCTATATAGTGTACAAGTTATAATACTCCCTCCGTCCTAAATTATAATGCATGTTCACTATTCACAGGATCAAACTTCATTCACTTTCTTTCTCTATTTTCGTTAGCAATTTGATAAAATAAAATATTGTTGTCACTACTAGTTTTATAGATCTTTTGATGTAGTATTTTGATATGTAATTTTTATTTTTTAACCCTATACCATTTGTCATATAAAATGATTTGAAAATAACTTTAGTCAAACATAGTAAACCGAAACAGGCGTTATAAAATGGAACGGAGGGAGTACAAATTTGGTGTAGCGAGTACCCTAGTACACCTCTAAAGACTTCGAGTTTCTTAATTTAAAATATAAAAGCAAAAAGGGAGTATGGGTGAACCGATGAGGAGCGTTACGTGCACTAAGAGCACTGGTAATACTCCTCACGCCCACCGGCGTTACGGGGCGTTAAACGCCCCGGGGGCGTGAAACACCGCCCCCCGCCGGCGTTAAACGGGCGTGAGGAGCCCTGCGTCATTCGTTTGACGCGGCGTGAGGGCCAATTTTTTTAGCCGTTCCCCTTCCCAACGGCTATAGAGCCGTTACCCCCCCCCCCAATTTAAAAAAAATTCTAAATTTTTAAAAAAAAAAACCTATAAAATCCCCCCTTCTCATACATCTTCCTCACACCTCTCTCTCTCACAAATTTCTCTTTATTACTATATATTCTCTCAAGAATATTTATTATTTATTATAAATATTTATAAAATATAAATTAAAAATGGGTTCATCTTCCGACGATGAAAGAAGAGCTTTATTTTTTCGTTGTTTCGCGACGAATTGTATTCAATGGTGGGAAGATGGCCAAGAAGAAGCCGAATCCTCCCGACGACGGACCCGACGCCAACGTCTAAACCGGGATCGAGCGGCCGCCCACGATTCACTTCTAAACGACTACTTTAATAATCCGTGTGTTTATACACCGGAGGATTTTAGTAATCGTTTTCGGATGAGTCGTCCTCTGTTCTTACGCATACTCGCCGATGTTGAACGCGAAGTTCCTTGGTTCAACCAACGGTTTGATGCGAGAGGCCGACGCGGGTTTAGTAGCGTCCAAAAGTGCACTGCCGCGCTCCGTCAGTTGGCGTACGGGACGGCATCTGATATGTTCGACGAATACTTAAAGATGTCTGCTCGGAGCATCAGGTCCTGTGTTT